CCAAAAAAAAACAACATTTTTTTTCCCTCAGAATAAAATGTTTTAAAATTTTGAAACTAATTTAATACTGGCACAAAATAGTCTAGAAGGTGCTGAGAATGTAGATTATAAAGTCATAAATTTAGTCAGATTCCATTAGAACATATTAAGTGTGCATAGCTTGAAGCCTGTTAATATGTGTGTGGGGGGAGGTTAAAAATAAGTCACGGCCAAGGTAAAGAATCCTAGATAAATTGTAGAAGTACCTTATATAACATGGAATACATATTTTTCTCTCTAGAATGTAATGGATCAGATCCAGATTATTAGTGCAATCCTAACAAAAATATGATGGCTGCAAGGCATTAAAAATAAGCAGAAAATCCCCTTATTCCAACAAAAATGCCTTTGTGCTGGTTGAACCCTCTTCTATTGACTGATTTTATAAATCTGTCAGCAGCAACTGCTCTTGTGGTTAAAATATGGCAGCAGAAGATTTAAAAAAAAATCAGAGAACAGGCAGAGCAAGGAGGAGCTAAACTATGCCAGATCCAAAAACCTCCTCCTGCTAAGGGACCCACTGCACCCGCCCAAAAGCAGTCTTAAGAATTCCCAGCATTCCTAGTAGACCCAGGGGTGTACGTGGTTGGATTCATCACAGGTTTCAATCTGGCCGAGTGTCAGCTCAGTTGGCCCGTAGCCATTTGCGCCAGTTAGGATTGGGCTCTTAATCATGCTCACAGCACAGCCATTGTAACTGGAATTTAAAACAGTAACAACTGACTTCAGTCCTATGGATTTTAGTGAGTTCATGTGTAGAGTCTGGCCACTGAAAAGTCTAAATTCAGCCCACTGTAATTTCTCTAGTTCCGTGAGGAGGTTGGAGGGAAGACTGAGGTAAGAAAAAAAAGTGGGGAAAAAATTAAACCTCAAAAGAACTGGAGATGTTTCAGATAAGCATCCACACTTTTTAGGGCTTATCAAAAGAGAGTCACACCTCCAAATCTTTTGAGAGTGACCGATTAATATTAAACAGTCTTGGAAGCTGGAGGGCGTTTTCTAGGGTAAGTGGCTTTCAGTACTCGAACAATTTGCCACAAACGTTTTCCCATTAGCAACAGGACTCTTTTAAGAATGTTCTTGCTAAAGTCAGGATGTCGCCTTCCCATAATAAGCAATGCAGAGCACTGTCTAGTGAAGCTGGCTGTAAGCTGTCTTAGAAGAGTCTTGAGAAGGAAAATTGCTCTCCCTCTGACAATGTTAAGGCAGAGGATGGAGGGCTTTTCTCAAAACTCCAGATGGGCACCTTTTCTGGATCTTTCGTTGATACAGGTTGACCTGCCTTCAGTAATGTGAGTACGGAATTGCTACGTAAAACATCAAGAAGACTGGTTCTTATTTAAAAGACTGACAGGCATAGGATGGCATGAGCATGGATTCTCCAACACAGAAGCGGCATAGGATGGCATGAGCATGGATTCTCCTACACGGAAGCTTATGCCAGTGGTTCTTAAGCTTTGTTACTCAGATGTTTTTGAACTGCAACTCCCAGAAACCCCAGTCAGCACAGCTGGTGGTGAAGGCTTCTGGGAGTTGCAGTCCAAAACTCCTGAGTAACCCAAAGTTAAGAACCAGTGGTTTATGCCATAAATATATCTCTCTCTTCTAAGTGAGAGCACAAGAGGTTTTTGTTGTGATTATTCTTTTTATTTTTGCTGGAGCAGACTGCCTTGACAACCCTTTCGGAAACAGCTGACTGAGAAGTTTCCTAAAACCTTTCTAATAATGGAAGAAGCTGATTCCAATGTTACCATTGCTGTGTGGGAGCTACTCCAGCAGGGATCTAGTCCAGATGTTTAAAAAATAGTAATACATGGCCCAGGAGGGCTGCCTGCATTCCATTCCACTGTCTTATTTTGCTTGGACCACCTAGGACTGGTGTCCCTTAGGAAGCTCCTGATTCTGCCTTTGCCTAGTGTTCGTCTTCAGTGTCTGATACAAACAGTGAAGAAGTCACTGGGACTAAGATCCAGTCCATCTTAGTGCACAGCATTAATTGGTACCCTCAGTGGACATACTGCTTAAAGTATGCACTTAAGACAGGCTATCAGTGGTATGGGAGTTAACTAAGCCTAGTGGTCAAGCACAGTTTGTTTACACACATTACTGGAGCAAACTGGGACCATACCCTACCAAATTACCTCCAAAACTCCAACTGGATTGCAGTGTAATTGGTTGAGCTGATAATTAGTAGCAGATAATATTCAGCTTCCGTTGAAAAGTACGAGGGCCATTATTCAGTTTAACAAAGATGGTGAGTCCCGTGACTCAGGAGATGGGGATAAAATTTACTAGTAGTTCTCTAGGGCAAGAGAAGGCTGCAATTTAAAAAAAATCTACTGTATGTCCCTGTGGCTTTTTTCCATCCTTATTTGTACATGAGGGATGAGGATGGGGGAACGTGATGTAGCACTGGTACTCAACTGGCTGTCTATCTAGATGACTGCTGCCATCCTTCTGCAGGCACATTTCTATGGATGGTCAGTGTAGATCTGGGATAAAGGAGCTATGGCTCTCCAGATGCCGCTGGGCTAATCTCTCCTCATCTTTTGCTTTTGCCTGTGGAGACATGAGTTAATGGGCGTTGATGTTCCTCCTCCCTCGTATAGATTATCCTTGGAAGAAGGAAGCAGACCAGCAGCCAAGCCAGGAAATTTACTTTCTCACATCCTACTCCACCCAGAAAAGGAAGAGGAAAAAGGAAGGAATTGCTTTAATAATGCTTCATAGGGTCTCCCCCACCCTTCTCTCCATAAAAAAAGTTAATTTTCTGTTCCACCTCATATGCACATCCTGAACATTGGCACAATTCTAGCCTCCTGAGTGAACTACTGAAAATTGTTGAAAATCAGTGGAACACATTCAATTCAGCCCTATTTCAGTATTCTCCTCAGAATAATAGAGTTTTGTGGGATAATGTTGTTAGAACAGTGGGTGTATATCCCAACAACTACATGCAGAAAGTTAACTATGATGCAGATATATGTGCATACATCTGTATTTGCATCAGTCTTTGCCTCTGGGTCATAAACATCCAGGATAAATATCTGCACATTCTCCATCAAATATAATTTCAATTTATGAATGCTTGCCCCCCTGCTGTGTTTATGGGACCTCATAGACAGGTAAATAAACCTACACCAAATGTGTTGTTTGTTCTTTGTTGCTTTACGTGATTAACTGGTCACACGTTGCTTATAGTTATAATCCAATAATAAATATGATTGTCTGAATTAGATCTAAAAGAAGTTTGCAGGACACATCGAACATAGGGATGCTAACTAACATCATCTCAGCAAATAGCGGGTGGTTCATCAGACCTATTAAACTGTGTGATGCAAATGTATAAGGAAAGCTTTTTCCATATCTTATAAAATCCCCTGCTAACTTAAAACAGGAAATTAATTGTGGGGCTGTGTATTTTCTCAAGCACATACCCTGTTTCCCCTAAAATAAGACCTAAACTGACAATAAGCCCTAGTATGATTTTTCAGGATGCTCGTAATATAAGCCCTACCCCCAAAATAAGCCCTAGTTAAGTGAAACCCCCACCTCCACCATTGTGCAGCAACCAGAAGATGACATGACTGCATTTGAATAAATGTAGATGGTTGTACATGACAAAAATTAAACATCCCCTGAAAATAAGCCCTAATGCGTTTTTGGAGCAAAAATTAATACAAGACCCTGTCTTATTTTCGGGAAACAGGGTAGTAGTACCTGTAGCAGTGGAAAGCTTAGGAATTGCAGGGTATGATGTTCTGAGTGGAAGGAAAAGCTCCAGTTTGCTTTGACTTTCCATACCAGTTCCAGCATCTCTATTTGGTTCTTCCCCCAAGCTCCCTTTCCATACCTAACGAATAGTCAGCCACATGCAGGAAGGAGCAGGTGCTAAGTGACAGGTCAGGTGAAGCTCTCTATGAATAGGCCCATTCGAGTTTAGACTTTCAGTGGGCTGCTCAGTAGGGCTCTTTCCAATTCACTGCGACCAATTTAGATATTATTTGTTGAGAAGCTCTGCGTTCTATTGAGAGACCAATGGTAACAGTGTAAAGTATAATTAAGCCTTATCCATCCTGTTATCAACTGTCTTAATCCTGTGCAAAGTATGCACGGAACATCAGTGATGCAGCAGAAGAGGGTTTTTTTTAGTATTACCACACAGAATGGCTAATACAATAAAGTCTTAGGCTGGCCCTCGGAAACTACAAAATGATGAGGGAGGAAAAATTCTCAGCCTGTTCCCTAGAGAAAAAGTGGCATTTGTGAACTGCACAAGCTATAACTGGAGTGGCATTTAGCAGCTGTCCATGGGTACTAGTGAGAACATAGCACAAGCGTACTTGTTTCACTTCTAATCCTTGGCTTGATATGGATCAGTTTCCATGAGAGAAATACCAGTCTCTCTCCCCTTCCTCACTTCTCGCAAAAGGAATAGAAGGGTTTTTCAAATGAGGTGTGTTAAAGTTGGACTATCCCACTTGCAAAAATAAAATTTACCTACAAGCAGAAGATGGGCATCAGGAAATATACTTCCATATAAAAATGTATGCTCGAAAGTTATAAAAGATAGCTAAAGTTCTTTGTATGCTAAAGTTCTGGATGCACTATAGCTTTTCCCCCCTAATTATTAAAAGAAACCCAAGCACCTGGAAAAGCATATGAAGGGTTTGGCCCTTTAGGGCCAGGCAAAATAGTGGTTCTGGCAAAGATCAGCTATGGAGAAGTTGTTACTTTGTTATGAGAAACCAACTTGGCATATTTTATGTCACAACCGTGTGTGTGTCTGTGTGTGTCATAAAGTCTGTTCTTAAAATTAAGGAATGGTTTCTGTGTAGGCCTAAGAAGCAGTAAAAAGGATGGAATACTGAGCAATTACTGATATAAAAGGAAAAAAATGTATAAAGCAGTATTTTATATATGTAGGCTAATTGTTTGGAACAGGCAGATAAAACTTTCAGTAACAGCACTCAACCTTTTATTCGATAGCTTTGGGGAGAAAAGGACACTCTTTCAGTTTTCCATTGGTCCAATCAGACCATGACTCAACATGTGATTTTATTTTAAAATATTGGATAAAATGAATAGTTTTTGAGTCATGGGAGTTCTATGACATGACAAATGTCTGTTGTGTACTTTTCCCCATCATTTACAAAAACTCCATTCTAAACTTGTAGGGTCCCTAGAACATTGAACAACATGTCTCAGGACTATTAATCTCCTTTTGGGCGTGAGAATGAGAATCTGTAGGATGAATGGAACAAACATATTCCTTCTGAAATCATGCGTGCTCCAGAAGGGAAAATTTATTGTGGCTCCTGTTATTTTAAGGTGTCTTGAAAATTCATGTCATGAAAAATTCCATCCTTATGATCTACAAGCAACCCAAATAGCATGACTTCCAATCTGAATTATATACATCCCTTCACATGTTATACTTGTGAAGAAACTTAATGCAGTTGAAGGAGTGGCAAGGTTATTTTGCTGCCTTTGTCTGCAGCTCCCTGGCCCAGCCCCCACAGCATACTTTGAGCATGGCCATGGCAGCATGGGAAAAACAAGAATGCGTAGGGTTCCAGCTACCACCAATGTGCGTAGGCCCCTCTCCCCCGGAAATACCCATGCTGAGCACATTAATAGCAGGCTGCAATAGGGAGCCGTATGGTGCTTAGTCACCGACCCTTTACGCTGTACGAAGAGGGTTGTTGTGTGGTTTTCATGGTGGTTCCAAGTTGCCACTGTTTGAGAAAGCCAACAGCACTTTGGGAAACATACAACTATTTCTATTTCTACACATAACCCATGCCAATGTATGTAAGGCTTTGGTTATTTGGAATTCCTTCTCTTATACTTCAGCTTAAAGCCAGAGTGTGTGTACCAGCACTAATTGCTTTTACAAATAATAATAAATTAATATTTAGCAGTTAAAATGGCTATGACTGTCCATTTGCCATTTGTTCCCAAGTTCAATGTCAATGTAAAGACTAGACATAACTGTCAATCAGGATCATGTATCTAGAAAGAACATCAGCCCCAGTAATAGCCACAATGAATGTTAACCTGGTTCAGAGTTGTTTTAAAGCTTACTGAACTCTTAGAATCAGTGCACCAGTATCAAACACATATTCCAGTGTTTTAGACTCATATTTTGTTCTGTGTTGCTGCATTATGTTAAACCACTCCATAGTAACACAAAGAAGCAAGTTATTTACATTGGTGCTTTTTCATTTGAGCTGACCAATTTCCCCCCCACTTAACACCCCTTCCCTAAAATACACCCCAGCCATGGTCCATGTTGGAATCGCGCATCCTGTTACAATGCATGTTAAAGAGAGACCTCCAACAGAGGCTGACTCTATCCCCTGACATGGCCAGGAGAACCAAAGATAGTTAGTCAGTCCAGAAGTATAAAGGCTTTGTGTAATACTTGGCTGTTGCATTATGCAAACCACAGCGAAGATCAGCAGAACTGATTCTTTGTTTGCTCTGGGAAATTCAGTTAAGGTCACTAGAATTTCATTAATTAAAAACAGTAAGTAATAAGCAGTTTCACCTAGCTGAAAGAATAAATTCTATCATTGCATGGGTTTGTGGGGGATAATTTTCTGGTCTCCTTCCTTGTAGTCTCATTTCTACAGTTGTATTCTAGGTGATTCCAGTGGTGTCCTCCTGTGTGATATGCTTACTAAGTGCCTCTGGATTCCTTGTGTCAGTGACGATCATAAGCAGCAGCAGCTGCTGGGGGTGCCGCTCCACGGGCTGCAGCACTGTAATAGTAAGGAGAGCCTAGAAGAGAAGAGACATCATAGTATGAAGGTTTCAGAGATGCATTGATTCATCACCAACAACGTGAAGGAGCTGGAGGAAAAAAAAGAAAAACCCACTGAACTGATCTGACAGTTTCCACAGTAATTTGTCTAGCTCCTTCCAGGAAAGGTAACAGAGTAGTTAGCAAGTGTTCTTCGGATGACCATTTGCTATAGTGCCAAACAAATGCCTATAGAAGAGAGAATTTCATGACTATAATAAAACTCAGCTAACTGGAGCTGCATTTCAAAAATCCACCATTCTCTTGACGTTCTCTAGTTGCACACTGTTGGGAAACAGTAGATTGATTTAAATCAAGGAAATTCACACTACCCAAGAGAAAAGACTAATTTAGACCACTGATCTGAGTGAAGCATCTCATTTGTATTTCAGAGTCTACTGTATAATAATTGCTGGATGCAATGATTTAAAGCACTGATAAGCAACCATACGACAAAGAAGAATACACAACTGTATATAGCAATACTTTTTCTACTTTAAAAATAATGCAGTCTTTCTTTAATACAGAAGTTGCTCTTTGGTTATGATTTGTATCAAACAGTGCTAAAAGTCTCTCTCTCTCTCTCTCTCTCACACACACACACACATACACACACACACACACACACACACACACACACACAAAATAATGAGTGAAGTTGAAAAGAGAGTCACCTGTGAAGTGAATGTTCATTCTATTGGGTTGTCATACAGAGTTGTAAACTTTCATGATTGGTAGGAGGAGCAATGTGTAACAGTAAGGAGGCTGGAGGGTAGCTATTGAGAGTAAATCATTACTAATCTGAATCCATAACAAGATCTCCAATTAGCTTGTTGTTCCTGGTATCAATTTCATAACAGCACAGTGGATACTCTGTTCTGCCATCTTTAGATGGCTTGATACGTAAGATGTAGCTTGCATAGTGCAATGGACTAGGACGCAGAAGATTCAGTTTCAAAATCCTGCTCAACCACATAAACTAACCAGTAAAACTTAAATATCTTGTGCAACTCAGAATTTCTACTAGGGTTGCCACAACTTAGAAATGATTTGAATGCATATAGTACACACAAAGGAGAATTTAAGCATTTAAAGGTAAAGGTAAAGGTTCCCCTTGACAATTTTTGTCCAGTCGTGTTCGACTCTAGGGGGCGGTGCTCATCCGTGTTTCCAAGCCATAGAGTCAGCATTTTGTCCGAAGCCAATCTTCCGTGGTCACATGGCCAGTGCGACTTAGACACAGAACGCTGTTACCTTCCCACCAAGGTGGGCCCTATTGATCTACTTGCATTTGCATGCTTTCGAACCGCTCGGGTGGTAGGAGCTGGGACAAGTGACGGGCGCTCACTCCGTCGCGTGGATTCGATCTTATGACTGCTGGTCTTCTGACCCTGCAGCACAGGCTTCTATGGTTTAGCCCACAGCGCCACCACGTCCCTCTTAAGCATTTAAAGTACATGTAAAACTATTAAAAGCCACACAGATTACAAAGAAGTCTACAACCTGTTGAATCCAAGATCCTTAAATCCCAATGCCTCTGCTAAATAGCCATGTTTAATATGGCACTAACGAGATCAAGACCTGTGAGGGGAAAGCATTCCACAGCTAAGGTGCTACAGCCAAGAAAGCTCTTTATCATGTTTCAACAGTCAAGTAATTAAAACAAAATTTATAAAGGAGCACTTATTCCCAGTTATTTTTACAGTTTACTCCCAAAAAGCTGTTAACTTAAATGCTTATTCAAAAATAACAAGAAAGAGAAAAGGAGCAGATGATAAACAATAAATAGTAAACCAACTTGCAAAAATACATAAACCCACATGCCTACTCACTGATGACAAAGAAGAACCACCTCCTTGATGACAACAGAGAGTGTTTAAATACTCTCACAGGAGGCCAAACTGGCCCCATCTTTGCTGTCCTTCCACAAGCAGGCAAGCTTTCCCACAGTGACTGCCTACAAAAATGTGACTTTCAGCTGGATTGTTATGCATTGCTGCTCTTTAATACTTTAGTACTAACTGTTTACCACTTAGGTCTTCAGTACTGTGTTTACCATCTCTCAGAGCGGTCGTTGTTTGTTTCTTTTAAATGTTTGTATACATACTGGTTTAGGTTCAATGCTGTCTTTTAATAAGATAAGTTGGTTCTTTTATTCATTGTCCTTAGCTTTAAATATAATCTTTTAATGATACAAACCACCATTGTATACTCATTGTTTTCAGGTTTAAATATTGTCTTTCAATAATGTAAGACACCTTGGGTCCTTTTTAAGGAGAAAGGAGGGGTAAAATATCTTAAGTAAATAAATAAATAAGTGGAAGAGAGCTATGATTTTGTTTTCTTTTCAGGTTGATTATACATATGTCTATGTATGTATGCTTATACATACATACATAGAGGGACGTGGTGGCGCTGCGGGCTAAACCGCAGAAGCCTGTGCTGCAGGGTCAGAAGACCAAGCAGTCATAAGATCGAATCCACGCGACGGAATGAGCATCCATTGCTTGTCCCAGCTCCTGCCAACCTAGCGGTTTGAAAGCATGGAAATGCAAGTAGATAAATAGGGACCACCTCGGTGGGAAGGTAACAGCGTTCCGTGTCTAAGTCGCACTGGCCATGTGACCACGGAAGATTGTCTTCAGACAAACGCTGGCTCTATGGCTTGGAAACGGGGATGAGCACCGCCCCCTAGAGTCGAACAGAACTGGACAAAAATTGTCAAGGGGAACCTTTACCTTTACCTTATACATATGTCACAAATGACAAACTGAGCCACACATAAGAAAGTGGGCTAGTAAAAAAATATTTCTGAGCTAGCAACTTTTATGGAAAACTTTACAATTTGTTTAAAAAGCTAATTAAAAGAAGACCCTTTACCCTTACAATTAATATTTTTATAAATATGCACCATATCTAAAAGTGCTATTCTGTCTCATTTGGATCTTCCAAGAGAAGAATGTATTATCATACAGTATTTAAGAATTTCTCATTACCAATAGTGTAATCTTGATACAGCTCCAGATAATGGGGTCTTCCACACAGCAATTTACCATGCATTGTTTCACCTCAGTTATTTTCACTTGATGGAGGAAGATCATGAGAGGTACCAGGATTTGCATTCTAACCCTTAGCCTTGTAGTAGCATGATGTTGCATGGTGCTGTAGTACAAAATTGAGGATAATTATTCATGACCTCCTCCTTTATCACACCCCCATATCACCTCCTTTCTCTCCTTTTTTTGCACCCTCTTATACTCACACCATCACCCTGGGTTCAACAATAGGCTTTTGTTTCATTTATTGGTGGTGGTGGTGGTTGCTCCACTCCTGTGGGCTACTTTTATAATAATAATGATTTGTTATGGTCAGTGACCAGAAAGATAAAAATATGTTATTTAGATAGAATCACATAATATCAGAAACATTGGTCAAGACATGTCACCATCAATGCACTGTCTTGCTTTTTTACGACATTAAAGTTAAAAAAAGAAGTTCTAAGTTAGCCAGCGGCATTGAAGGATATAAAAGCTTTTAAAATATCACAACAGTCACATGACATGAGATGAAATTAAGAGACACATATAACCATCAGTATGCCACCCAGCTCTCTTAGAATGTCGAGTTAAACAAGAAATCTCTAACAAGGACTGGGGCACTTGAGGAGACTGCGGCAAGCTATTACAGCAGCACAATATTTGGCCACTTTACTAGTAATGTAAGAAACCTTATCAGAGAGCAGCAAAAGACTATAAAATTCGTTGGATCTCCCCAGAAATTTTTGAAAAATAGGGGAGAGAAGATCCTTGTGGAGATCTCAAAAGAAATGACAGTATAAGAGAATATGCCCCACTGTTTCTACTTCACCACCATCGCAAGGACATAAATGATCAGAATAGGGTGTGCCCTGAAATCTCCCTTCCAAGAGATTAGAAGGCCAAACATTAAATCTGACTAAGGTAAAAGCTAATTCTAGATTTAAGTGGTGTTATACCAGTCATATAAGTGGGAAGTATAAAGGTGTTGTGCTTTACAACACTGGTTTTGTCCAGTGAGCCTAAATGTTCTTGAAGTTCTATGTCCCAGATCCTATGCTTGATGGCTGATTTGGCACTGGCATGATCCATCGCTATAAGGGTATTTGGGGAACGACCAATTTGGAGAGCTTCATTTGTCTGGTGACACTTCCATTCCGATTGGAAGGTGTTGGAAAGAGTCAATGGTGCCAGGCTACTTTTGAGGAGAGGGGTTAACTGTTAATCGGCCAACTGCAAAGCACAACAGTGCTTCCATGCTATAACCACAGCATGAAACTGTGGGACCCTGCCAGGTTTGCAAGACAACTGCACATGCTGATATTCACAAAAAGATGTGTGCTTTGTTGTGCTTTGAAAGCCATCGCTTCTGATGATGCACCAGTGATACCTCACCTTCCCACCCACCTTCACATGCAGGTGCCAAAGTTCTAAAGCAATCAAAAGCAAAACAAGTATTGAAAAACCTACAAAGAAATTCAATTCAGCAGGTGGAGGAGGAACAGAAGAGGAGGAAAGGTGAAAGTAAGCCAGATAACATAAGAAGAGGTATGGAGGAACATGATATGAGTCAAAGAAAGGTGTAGAGAGTTGCCACCCACACAATGGACATCACTGCACATCATCATCATCATTAGCATCATCATCATGTGCCATCAAATCAATTCTGACTTATGGCAACCCTTTTCAGGGATTTCCAGGTAGAGAATACACAGAAGGGTTTACAATTCCCTTCTTTTGAGGGCACCCTGGAACCATGCTCCTTTGCCAAGGCCACACAAGTTGGCTCTATTCTCAGGAGGCATAAGTGGGGAATCGAACTTCCAACTTTTGGCTCTGCAGTCAGATACCTAGACCAGCTATCCAGCCACCTCACTGCATAGTTCTTCAAAAACACACTAAGCAGAACGATCTGGTAGGCAGATGCACACCAGCAAAAGGAG